TAATACATTTGTTGTAGCTGATACTAACCCAAGTGGTTTAATGGTTTATCTAAATCCAACTGATGAAATGGTCACATGAACAGAAAAATGTCTAAACCCTAGTTGTGGCTAGAGGTCAGGGGTCGGCTAATGCCCCAGGGTTACTGTTCATAAAACACAGGAAGACATTTATGCCTTAGATTTGATCCACCATTAGAATACAGGATCCTGATTCTGTTTTGAGTCCGATTGAGAGTCTTAGATTTGTTGATGGTGATCCTTGATTTGAGTCTGGATGTTGGTGACACGTAATATTGCCAGCTATAATTAGAATTTAGCAACTACACTGAACAAAAATTTAAATGCAACACTTTTGTTTTAGCTCCCATTTTTCATGAGATGAACTCAAAGATCTAAAACATTTTCTATATACACAAAATAACCATTTCTCTCAAATGTTGTTCACAAATCTGAAAAAATCTGTGATAGTGAGCACTTCTCCTTTGCCGAGATAATCCATCCCACCTCACAGGTGTGGCATATCAAGATGCTGATTAGACAGCATGATTATTGCACAGGTGTGCCTTAGGCTGGCCACAATAAAAGGCCACTCTGAAACGTGCAGTTTTGCTTTATTGGGGGGGTCTGGGGGGGTCCGAAAACCAGTCAGTATCTGGTGTGACCACCATTTGCCTCACGCAGTGCAACACATCTCCTTCGCATAGAGTTGATCAGGTTTTTGATTGTGGCCTGTGGAATGTTGGTCCACTCCTCTTCAATGGCTGTGCCAAGTTGCTGGATATTGGCAGGAACTGGAACACGCTGTCGTATACGCCGATCCAGAGCATCCCAAACATGCTCAATGGGTGACATGTCCGGTGAGTATGCTAGCCATGCAAGAACTGGGATGTTTTCAGCCTCCAGGAATTGTGTACAGATCCTTGCAACATGGGTCTGTGCATTATCATGCTGCAACATGAGGTGATGGTCGTGGATGAATGGCACAACAATGGGCCTCAGGATCTCGTCACGGTATCTCTGTGCATTCACAATGCCATCAATAAAATGCACCTGTGTTCGTCGTCCATAACATACGCCTGCCCATACCATAACCCCACCACCACCATGGGCCACTCGATTCACAACATTGACATCAGAAAACCGCTCACCCACACAACGCCACACACGCTGTCTGCCATCTGCCCTGAACAGTGAAAACCGGGATTCATTCGTGAAGAGAACACCTCTCCAACGTGCCAGACGCCATCGAATGTGAGCATTTGCCCACTGAAGTCTGTTACGAAGACGAACCGGAGTCAGGTCGAGACCCCGATGAGGACGACGAGCATGCAGATGAGCTTCCTGAGACGGTTTCTGACAGTTTGTGCAGAAATTCTTTGGTTATGCAAACCGATTGTTGCAGCAGCTGTCCGAGTGGCTGGTCTCAGACGATCTTGGAGGTGAACATGCTGGATGTGGAGGTCCTGGGCTGGTGTGGTTACACGTGGTCTGCGGTTGTGAGGCCGGTTGGATGTACTGCCAAATTCTCTGAAACGCCTTTGGAGACGGCTTATGGTAGAGAAATGAACATTCAATTCACGGGCAACAGCTCTGGTGGACATTCCTGCTGTCAGCATGCCAATTGCACGCTCCCTCAAAACTTGCGACATCTGTGGCATTGTGCTGTGTGATAAAACTGAACATTTTAGAGTGGCCTTTTATTGTGGCCAGCCTAAGGCACACCTGTGCAATAATCATGCTGTCTAATCAGCATCTTGATATGCCACACCTGTGAGGTGGGATGGATTATCTCGGCAAAGGAGAAGTGCTCACTATCACAGATTTTTTCAGATTTGTGAACAATATTTGAGAGAAATGGTTATTTTGTGTATATAGAAAATGTTTTAGATCTTTGAGTTCATCTCATGAAAAATGGGAGCAAAAACAAAAGTGTTGCATTTATATTTTTGTTCAGTGTACCTTTCAAATGTGTTACTGCTACTTATATTTACACCCATTCAGTGTTCAAAGGTCTCACCTGTATCCTTGCATTTATATTTTTGTTCAGTGTATTAATAACTGTCAACAGTGGGGTAGGGTGAGAGCTTGACGCTCGTGAACTGTCAACGGGAGGGCGGAGGGAGCCTCGCTGCGGGGAAGCAGTGTGTGGACCTCTTTCACCTGTCAGCGCAACTTACATGATGTGGTTTAAACAAATTTAAATAATTTGTTTAAATGGCATAATAATAATTAATGACGACCGTCGGTTCTGTGATTCTTCAGAACACACAGATGGCCAGTCCGCCCCTGTGTAGCATATTATTTCGATGAGCAGATCGCCACTGGGCTTTCAACTAAAGACACAGCCACGCAAAAATTGCGGCATTTGTACAGCTCCTTATGGGTACTGCAATTTGTGAAGTGCCGGCGCGCTCCGGCAGCACTTCACCCTTGATTGTTTCACCACGGAGGAAAGCGGCAGAAAGTCACCTGGAGTTAAAGAGAGCGGGGCTGCGTTGCGTGCATGGCTTCCTTCTGCAGGTAACGGGGAGACGCGCTCTGGCGGCGGTCTCGTTCAGGATCCGAAAATAAAGTTTTAAATATTTTGCACACTTATTCCTAGTGTGCCACTGGTTACGGTGCAGAGGTCACGTAAGGTCATTTTGGTAAATGACGTCACATTTGATAAATTGCCTCACGGGAGATAACTCATCGTAGAAATGTAGAAAGTGTGTTTACCAGACCTTGTGTAACCCACTCCTCATCTGACATCATTTGACCTACTGGGATTCTGTATATGATGTTGCTTACGTATGGGCATAGATTTACAATATAGTGGTATAGCGCTGAAAACTGTAGCTACATTTAACAATAGACAGCAGATATAAATGAAGTCGCTGCTATACTGCTTTTATGCTGGGAGGTAACATTTTGTAAGCATTTCATATTCTTGTTGTACTCAAAAGTCATTAGACTCGGTTTTATCAAGCTTGAGTAAAAGCAAATATGCAGCCAATATTTAGAAAAAGGAATAAAATGCATCTAATAAAAACCCAGATTAATGAGCAGAAATTATTCAACCTAAACTTAGTTTAGTGCAGCTCTGTGCGGATGGTAAAAACCTTTTTGTTTCAGACCAGGACACAGTTTTGTGTCTTGTTACGTTGTTCCTTAACTCTGTGTACATGGAGAACATTAAGAGCCTTATTTCCCTGTGCTTCTGTACAGTTAAGTGTTTCTTTCAGCCTAACAGAGCTCTCAGTGTGGTTGAACAGTCATGCTCTCTGCAGATCAGAGTAGGCCTCCCTCACTGGCCCCAGGATTTCACTGGACCTTTAACTCTTAAACCACAGAACATTTCTGACTACAGTCCTCATGTGTTGAGTTAACAATACGCTGGTTTTGCTTCCTTTAGAGAAGTACTTGTCAAAGCCAATCAAGACATTCAGGTTCTCTGTCAGTATCGCCTGTCCAGGCCTTTTGTTATTGATAAACCTTCTTCTCTCAGGAATGGGGAGAATTGTTATAACCCAATGATGAAGAAACTCTGACATGTGAACACACTGTAGCAAACGTCTGCTCCACATATAAAGAAAGTTCTGTGTCTTGTGCAAACACAAAAATAGTCGCAGGAACAATTTGATCTCTGCATATCACACGGCTCATACGTAACATTTAATTAGTGTAAGCTTACATTGTTCCCTCTAGATCTAAACTATTCTGTGTATCATGAAAACCTCCCACAGTTATCTTTATGTCAATGAATATAATGATGCATTCCCAGATACATCAGTGCAGGATATTTTAATTTAATTTGTTAGCTCATTTCCTGCGTTATAGGTTGAACTTTGTTGTATGCAGGGCCCGAACCAATCAAATTTGATTCTGCTGCAAGTACATTTTTAAGCATTACTTTTAATTATTACTTGGTTTTAGTTCCCCAGATGTCACAGTGCATTATTGTCTGTGTCTGACATGATGGTAAACTGAATAGTTTTAACTTTTGTATTTATTATTCAGGAAGAAATAGACATAAGAAGATTCTACAGACCGAGAGAAAGGGTTTCCATTAGGGTTTTATTGACAACGATGGATCAAGCAATGGAGAAAATAAAACTATTCTCAGTTAAATTCTCATTTATTCTGAAGGTTTTTCTGTTTCAACACAAATTGAAATGATTTAAAGAAGTATATCTAAGTTCAGTGTTTCATATTTATTATTCAATACACTGGTTTATTGTTCAGTCCCATAGGTTCCTGTTTTGCTACACAGATGTTATCCTGGGCTCCTGAATACATACACATGTTTGTAATGAAACCGTGTTTCTGCTCTCGGTGTTGTTAGTGATAGTTAGAAGGCCTTCATTCCCCGCTCTCTCTCTCTCTCTCTACACTTCCCTTGACATGATCGTCCTTAAGGAGGCTTACTGAGATTTTCTCTCGCTGTGAGCCGTTTTCACTCCCTCGTAGTCGGACTGTGGTGAAACTGCAGCCAAAAACAGCTAGAGGCAAGATCTCTGACTTCAGGCCACAAGACAGATCGGCACGATAAAGTGAGCCTAGCTCGTCTTCTGGTATGTCTTTATGAATAGTCGTGTCCAGGTACGCCCAGATCTGATCAATCTTTTTTTCAGCTTTAATGAGTTGGGTACTTAAATGTACGGTATTGTTCAAGTTGTTCATTGTCGGTGTGTTTTCTTCCAACTGTTTGGACCTTGCATTATTTGTTGTATTAAGGTTTTGTATTTGGCCTGAGAAGATTAGCAAATACTACGTCGCTAACAGGGATCTAGTTAATTAAAACGGTAAGAAACGTAAAAGCTGGTACAAGAGTTGGCAATGCAAAAAAGATCTGGGTAAACACCCAAAGAAAGGCTATTGATTTATTTTGACGTGTGACAAGAAAACTAGTATATTTTGTTCTTTTCCTGCTTTCCTCTCCAATCATTTCTGTTGCCAGAGGCTCATGTGTGCCTGTATGCAGAGCTGGTTGTAATGTGACCATCGTTGTGTTTTCACAGAGTCTACTGGGCCGGCCAAGGTGGTGAGAGCAGGGAATCCACCCAAAGCCAGACGCGGAGGAAAGGTAATATTCTGTGTGTGTACTGTGGATGCATGTACATGTACTGATGGATATAAACGGTTTAGACATTCTACTCTAAACATTCAGTAATGCTTCATTGAGTGTTAGAAACTCCCAGGTTGATCTTTTGCGAGTCACCAAAACGGCTATAGGATTACAGGTCTTGTGAGAATTAAAAGACTATGTTAATATAACACCATATCTGTTTTAAGTATATATGTTATAAAGACACAATACAACCTCAAACGGAACATTTTCATTAGCTTAGAGCTTACAGCTCACTGAAGGTATGTTCAGACAGAGTCATGGTATTTATCTGTCAGGCCTCAAGCTGTGTATTACCGCCCCTCCCCACTTCCTGGAATGCAAATGGCCCGGCAGATGAAGCAAACAAAGTCTCCACAAAGTGTTTCATTCACAACTTCCTACCTTGATTGCAAGACTCCCTGCTGTTGTATTTCCGGGTCTTAAACTCCGCCTTCACCACACAGTTTTATGACACACTGAAAAAGGTGCAGTGTTACATAAACAAAAGAGAAATATGCGGTAAAGATGAATTTTCACCCTGTATATCCGCTCTGAAGGTCTTGGACAGAGTCACCTCTCTTCATTAACCTGAGCTAACATCTCAGGTTACCTGTGACACGCCTGCTAATACAGCTTTGTGTCTTTGTTCATCAGGTTGGAGACTTTGGCGACGCCACTAACTGGCCGACTCCAGGGGAGATTGCAACTAAAGACATGCAGGTGGGTGTTTTTGTTTGTTTGAGAAGTGTTGACTCACAGGTTAGTAGATGTGCATTGTAGAGGAAACACTGATGACATGAGGGTGGTGTCTGTTAGGGACTTAAACCACTCGACTATTTCAATATTTGCTGATTGGCGGCTAACGATCTCCTAAGCTCATTTTAGATTCTCATTTGTACTTGCTCGATTTTTTCTTTTATACACATTTGTTTGAGCAGTGTTAAAGAAGCCTAACGTCCAATAGTTATGTTGTTATCCTCGGATTGTTGTGCATCTATCAACTTTGAGCCAGCCTGGCCAGGACATGTGATAGGGAGTCTCTGCCTTAAAGTGAATGGACAATAGGCATCAATATCCATCTCATGTCTGCAGGACACACTTGAGATAGGTGATCATAACAAAATCAAATATCATGATACTATTGATCTCCAGCAATGTGATAGTGTTGTATATGAATGTATGCTTTCATACAGAATTAAGTTTAAACTAGTGTTGTGGAGTACTGTCGGGAAGAACTCCTTAAAGATCTTGTCCAACATAAGCGACAACACAGTGAGGTGTTTAGAAAAAGAACATCTTAGTGGTTTCTAGTCCCAAATTATAATATTTAGCAACCTTTCAGGGGGGGCTGATGCACTTTGCTGTAGTGGATGTGTGTCTTTTTTGACAATGGGTATTAGTGGTTTTGGCTGTAATTACACAGCAGCTAAACGGCACATCCAGACAGAGCAGCCTGCTCCTGCTGGCCCGACTCTGTGTCCTCAGTGCTGCATGTTTATTTTTTTAAGGGTTAGTCACCACCGTGGCAGGGAAACAAAAATGTCTGACCTTTAAGCGGGAACCTGCAAAATCAATCCCATTGCAAAAAGACAATCATTAGTTTGGAAGAGGAGTTGAGAAATTAAGTAGAATCTCAACCTGAGGGATTATTATGAGTGAATCCTTGCTGATAAAAGAATATAATTGAAATGAATCTTGCATGCTGTCTCACTTACTGTTGATATACTTATTTATTTACCTTTAGATTTAACTACAATACCATCAGGTCTATTCCACATAGATACTGGGTACAGATATTAGTCTGATTGTTGAATGAAATAAACGTAAACAATTATAATTCAGGATATAATGTATAGAAGAAATCTATTGTTTATTTGAAAACATAAAATATGCCAACTATTCCTTTTCTCCGCTTCTCAATTGTGAGGGTTTGTGGCTTTTTATCCAATAAGTAACTCAACAACCTTAGGGGTTTGTTGTTCATCAGACCAAACATAAATAAAAATGTCCCTTAGGCCTGTGATGTGGCATCTTTTCAATTTTCTAACATTCAAATAAATAAAGAAAAGGATTCAATAGAACAATCTTTAATGAAACAATTATTGCAAACTGTTTTCTCCTCATTGCACATGGCCGGCTGTCTAATTGACCCTTGGTTGATGTAAGAAAAACTTGAAAAGCTTAAAGCCTTAAACACCTGCCGATATAAGCTCTACTACTGTGTACACACGTCCAACATACTGACCCCCTTCCCTTTATCCCTATTCTCTCGAACCCTACAGCTGTTGTTCCTGTGAGGATGCGTTTAATTTGTCGCCGAGTAGTCAGTCACTCCTCGGAGCCCTTTTCTATTTCTGATCTCTGGGCTATAGTGTGCCAGCGGGAGATTGACCCCGGTAACCTCCCCAGCTAGTTCTGGACGAACATGAGGGAGAGCTGCTTGTCCCCTTACAGTAAAATGTGGGTCACATAGTTAGAGCCAGGAATAACTGGTGGCTTCGGTGGCAGAAATCATAGGTGGGGAGGGGTTCAGATACGGTGACCGAGGCCTGGGAAGGGATGCCCTTTTTAGGGATCCCCCTTCAATAAACCAGACCTGGATCAGTGGTGGTGGTGCTGCTGCTATTCTTAGGGGCTGGAGTTCACTGTCCACCACGTAACACTTAGAGGTGTCAATCAGCTGCTGAATTCCTCACATTATTCACACTGGGAAATGAACTTTGGTAAGGAGGGGTTTTCGATTAGGTTGTACTTAAGAGTTTTAAAGTTAGACTTGAGATTTCATGCAATAAAATGCATACATTGATTCTGTTAAATAATTTTCGGCGTGTGGCTGTTCTGCTTTACATGGGTTTGGGTAAGTTAAAATTGGGGTTGGAACATTTGATTAAACAGATATTTCAAGCTTGAGAAAAGTTGGTCGACGACAAAGCGATGAAATCGGACATATTGACAGATGAATCGAATTATTTTTAGTTGCAACAACACTAACCACCTTTTATCAATTATAATGAGACCGAACAAAAGACACACTTTTCTTAAAGATTTTAATTGACCTAATCCAACAGTTTTATTTATCGATTTTTCCTCATTGGAATAAATTAGTTAGTTTTTTTTTTCCACAGACTTTAAATGCTGCATTGACGTTGGTTGCATACTAGTAACATATGGAAATATGTGATGTTATATTTTCCGGTGCTTCATATGCTCGGATAACGTTTTTTCACTAAAGAAACGTTATGTATTTTGCAACAGTCGACAGTTCGCTAAGCCCCACCCAATCACTTAATAACTGTTGCTATGCAGATTTACCACACACAAGTCATTGGACCTATTGAAACCATCTGTCTTTGATTTCAAAGAGGTAGACAAAAGATCTATCTGAAATGACAACTGTGAACATTAACTAATTTAAAAAAAATCAGGTTTGACTGTTTTATTTTAAATGATTAAAACCAGCTTAGGTTGCCCGGAGAGTTATCCTGCAGACGTGCTGTAGAGATGATGAGCACTCATGTCTCTTCTCTGACTAAAAAACAATGAAGAGAATTTTTTACAACTCTGATCTCAGCATTCAAGCAAATAAACAAACAAAAAGTCACAAACACTGACCCTGGGCAACGTAGTCTGACTTGTTGTAAATGTCTTAATAAGGCCTGTTGTAGGCCAGTACAGACATGATATATTGTGTTATTACTGTTATGTAGCTATAAAGCCTTCTAGGATATCAAGTATATCTCATCAGAGCTCTATGCTAAGCTCAATACTAACCACATTAGAGGTTAGGGGCAAAATTAAAAGAACACATTCAGTGCAAAATACAAGTAACAGTTTGAGACAAATCAAATGGGCTACTTCCAACATTTTTAATAAGAAGTCTGAGTTCAGTGCAGACTGCAGTGTTGTGATGTTTTCGACCCATTTTGTTGTCTGTTTTGTGTCCAGAGTAAAATCATTGTCACTATAGTTTTTGTGTGCTTAGGAGACTGTAACAGAAGTTTCATCAGTGGCTTCCTGTGGCAGAAGGAGAATGAATCAGCAACCCTCTGTTCAACATTTCCTCAACCATTACACCACATTTCTTTATTGAGTCATGAAAAACCCTCACACCTGAGCTATAAACACTCTTCTAATCTAATGGCTCATTTCTGTCACTTCACACACCTCTATCCTCACTAAAAGTAAACTTATATTATTCCTGTCTGTCCAAAATCTAAAGCAATAAACCACAGTAATGTTTCCTCATCTTCATGTAAGGACACATTAGCCATTTAGCCACTGAAATGATATGGGATGTACTTTATAAAACCCTGAGGGAGCTTAGTGGACTTGGAAGCAGCAGATGCTTTTATCTTCCACGGCTTTTGTAGCATCCATTTGGCTTTTATATTGTTTGATGACAACAGGAAGTAGTTAATGGTCCTTGGGTTGTTGGAGAAGAGCAGCACTACAAATGTAAGCTTTTGAAGAGGCAATAATAACGTTTTTTTTACACCAGCCATTATACAAAATTAAAAATGATAACTGCAGAGGCTTGAAAGGATTTGTAACACTTGCTAAAGTGCCTGAACAGTCCCTAAATATTGAAGGTTTATGTCACGTCCATTTTAACTACTAACAGAAGAGCTTTTTCTTTAAATCAGTGTTAATACATTTTCTTCATTGTGTGTGTGTGTGTGTGTGTGTGTGTGTGTGTGTGTGTGTGTGTGTGTGTGTGTGTGTGTGTGTGTGGTGTGTGTGTGTGTGTGTGTGTGTGTGTGTGTGTGTGTGTGTGTGTGTGTGGTGTGTGTGTGTGTGTGTGTGTGTGTGTGTGTGTGTGTGTGTGTGTGTGTGTGTGTGTGTGTGTGTGTGTGTGTGTGTGTGTGTGTGTGTGTGTGTGTGTGTGTGTGTGTGTGTGTGGTGTGTGATGTGTGTGTGTGGGGTGTGTGTGTGTGTGTGTGTGTGTGTGTGTGTGTGTGTGTGTGTCATGGTCCACCTCATTGTCTCTAAACTGCTCTTCCCTCCCTCTGTTCAGATCGAGGCAGTGACACGGACGGTGTCTTGCCCGCCGACTGTCAAGCAGGTCAGAGACTCATGGAGATCCACTGTAAGTTTCACCTGCAGCCTGTGAAACCTGCTGCTAAAAAAAAAACGTTAAATGATGCACCACACAAAGAAATAAACAAACATAAAACGATGTCATAGTTAGTTAAAACCGGCTTAAAGTCAAATTGATTACAAAAAGTCAGGAGAATGAATGAATTAGCCTAGCTTGTTAACGTTGACACTGCAATGTCCACCCTGCACACTCAATGCTTTGGTCATCCCACGTTATTCAAAGGAGGGTTTTATTAGTTTATTTGACCTAATCAGTCTCCATGTCAAAAAGGCTTATTTCCAGGGGCCATGTGCATCACACCATCAAAAATCCATACGAAAAACGATTTTTTTTCACCATTTCCCACAATTGTACTATCTTAAACTGGAGTGTTCACTCTTTTGGAGATTATGTTTTTAATTTATTTTGTGTTTGATGGCCTGAACCAGCACACAAACTTTATAAAAAATAGTATTGAGAATAACACAAACGAGGGCCCAAATTAATTAAAATTAAATGTAATTGTAGGTGTAATATTCAGCTTTCTAAACTCATTTGATGTCAGTCAAATCAAAATCATTGTAAAGCCACTATATTTCATAACGGTTATAATTTGCGCAAAAGGGCTTGCTTCCCTTAAGGTTAGGCTTTATTGAGACATCGGTTTAACGAAGGTATTAAGAAAGTTACTGCATGTTTGAAGTGGGTCCTTGAGTTCAGAGTGAACAGATTAGTTGATGATTTTATACTTTCAAGACCGAGCAGCTCACAGCGGGTGTGGACAGAGTTTATTGCTGCTTGAAATGTGTCGAACCTCTAGTTAGTCCTCGAGTAAAACGCTTTGCATGACTTCTATGCAAACCCCTCGGTAGTATCAAACTTTGCATATATGAGCGTTCGTGATAGCTGAGCTGCTGTAGCACACAAGTGTCCGAACTCTGTTTGATTTGTATAAAATGAGATATCAGTTCTGTGAGAAAAAGATGAGGCGATTCACCAGCCTGTTACTGCGGGTTAGTGGACACTGCTATTACTTGATATTAGGGCTGCACGATATTGAAAAAAACTGACATTGCGATTTTTCCCCCTGCGATATATATTGCGATATGAAAACATACAGGAATTGAAGAAAAGACCGTTTTTTCTGTCCGCAAACCATCCTTTCTTGAACTTTAATGCTATACAATTAGTCTTTTTCTAACTATATTTAACCGGATGAAGGATTTTAGTCCCGGACGTCTGGATCTTAAGTTATCAGAGCAACAAGCTGAGCTAGCTCGGTTAGCAGCGCCGAACTGCCCTGGAGAAACACATGAAGCTACTTTATTCAGTGTTTTTACCTTTAATCACGGGGTCCGTTTGCTTTGGAGATTTTATTGTGATTGGTGGTTTGCTGTCACTCACTCAAGTACCCCTGACATGAGAGCCGCGCGAGTTTTCCTTTTGTAGCAAGCAGCAAAATAATTGTAACATGACGTGTTTGAATTAATTTGCCTACTTAATATCGCAAGTCCTAAAAAAAAAATATATATATATTAAAGAATTATAAAAAAAATCGCACGTCCTGCGATGTGAATATCGCCACGACACGGTATATCGTGCAGCCCTACTTGATATCAAATATAATGAGACCGAACAAAAGACACACTTTTCTCAAAGATTTTAATTTACCTAATACTTTTAATCTCAGTTTTATTTATAGATTTTTCCTCATTGGAATAATTTATTTTTTATTTAGCTTTTTTTTCCACAGACTTTAAATGCTGCATTGACGTTGGTTGCATACTAGTAACATATAGAAATATGTGATGTTACATTTTCCGGTGCTTCATATGCTCGGATAACGTTCTTTCACTAAAGAAACGTTATGTATTTTGCAACAGTCGACAGTTCGCTAAGCCCCACCCAATCACTTAATAACTGTTGCTATGCAGATTTACCACACACAAGTCATTGGACCTATTGAAACCATCTGTCTTTGATTTCAAAGAGGTAGACAAAAGATCTATCTGAAATGACAACTGTGAACATTAACTAATTTTAGTTACCAGTTCAGTACCAGAAATAGTAACAGTTAAAACATTTATTTTAAATGATTAAAAACATCCTTGGTTGCCAGGAAAGTTATCCTGCAGACGTGCTGTAGAGATGATGAGCACTCATGTCTCTTCTCTGACTAAAAAAACAATGAAGAGAATTTTTCACAACTCTGATCTCAGCATTCAAGCAAATAAACAAACAAAACAAAAAGTCACAAACACTGACCCTGGGCAACGTAGTCTGACTTGTTAGGTCTTAATAAGGCCTGTTGTAGGCCAGACATGATATATTTAAGCAATAGCTCACGACAGGCCGTGGTATATGCTCATTATATCACAGCTAAGGGGCGTGGTTCTGCCCGACGCGAAGCATGTCGTCGTTGAGGTGCTTTTTTTCTGGAGATAGGCACTGCTCAATCCACTCCTCCATAGTAAGACCCCCCCGGAGGTCGAAGTTAATCTTAAATGTTTCCATATTATGCTTTGTAAGTTTGTTTCGTAACGGAAGAAATTAAAATATATTTATAAAACTGACAAGTCAAATCAAGCAATCTGATTGGTCGATAGCGTTTTTGCGGACCTCTTTGATTACAGATTTGAAAACATCGTTGCTTGCTTTAAAAGTAGCTCAATTCATGATGTCAAACCTTGGAAAGTATCTAGATATCCCTGCCATAATGCCAAAGGAACTGCACACTGAATATGTTTTGCCGTTTGATGTCTATGTCTGGACCGCTGTGTAAAAAGGAGGGTTTCTGCCCCGTTACTTCTCCGCTGCTTTCTTGTTCCAGTTTGAAAAGCAGTTTGCTTTTCAGCCCAACTGTATACTGTTTTTCTCAGGCGCGGAGGGATACTGACTTGTTGTGAAAAGTAACTTACAGTTCTACCCGTGGTATACGCTCAGTATATCACGGCTAAGAACCAATCAGATTGCTTGATTTGACTTGTCCGTTTTATAATGTGTTATAACTGTTATGCAGCTATAAAGCCTCCTAGGATATCAAGTATATCTCATCAGAGCTCTATGCCAACTGCTTTAGCATGCTAAGAAGCTTGACATAACTAGCATAGAAACATATTCACTTGATGGGGGAGGGGTTAAGCGAGCGGTCCATAGCATGACCGTTATTGTTATGTGCATGTTTAACCAACAAAATATATGGTGTTAAGCTTGGATTTCATTTTACAGAATGGGAAAATAACTGAATATGTACGACTTTGTATCTGTGGCACCATTTTAAATCAATGTCATGTCCAGTAAAATGTGTATTACCACCAAATTGTTTTGTGCAATTTCCCCAATAACTCTTGTTTTGTTTGAATAGGTCTTCAGTCTCCTGTGAAAGATTGAATTGTTTCTCCAGCTCTTTTCTAAATGTCTGACTGTTTCCTCTGCAGGCTCCTAAGAAGCCGACGACAGTCAAGAAGGAGTCGAAGGAGTCGAAGGAGAAGAGGGAGAGCAACGAGGAGAGCAAGGAGAACCTGAAGGCCAAGTCGGACGACTCTGGAGAGGAGAAGAACGGCGACGATGACTCTCAGAAGAACGGACCCAAGACAAAAAAAGGTAAATATGGATTAAGCAGGTGGCCTGTTTGCATGCTGAAAGAACAAATTGTTAATAATCAAAAGTAGCATGTGCTAATGCGTGCATATTAAAAGTACTTGGTGTAAAAACGGTTATCAAGATTGGTCAAATATTTATTTTAACCCCCAACTTCACTGGCATGTTGTCTTAATCACTTTGACTTTTTAGGAGAAAAGTCTAACCTGTCATATTTTTAACCTACATCCAAAGTTTTTAGGGTTAAATAACAAATAGCTTTGTTTAAGTTTGAATACATTCCCAAATTATTACAATGCAATAAATGTAATGAGCAAGTTTTAATACAGCTACCTTTTAAAAAAAAAAAGAAGTGGATCCATAGCAGACGACTTAAGCAGGGCTCAAGCCGCTCAACGCTAACTTTTAAAAGTGGTTGCCAGGCTGGCAACCAGGCATCAGCTTTTGGTTGCCAAAACTGAAAATACGGTTGCCATTTTTAGTCACCTTATATTTTAAATAATTAAGATACTATACATCAACTTAATAATGAAAATGTGACACAAAAGAATGTTCAAATGCTTTATTACAATAAGTAATTAATGGAATTAAGTGAAACTTAAGTAGTAGTAAACTTCCACCCTCAATTGCTGGTATACAAAATACCAGTAGTGCAGCTGTTGTTAGGTTATCATCAGCCTTTTATATTTCCAGAAACAATACTGGCATACAGAATGTGATGGTGAGGATTTCACCACAGACCACCACTTTCTTTAGCAGCCAGTTTAGTCGTGTGTTTTCTGAACTTTTCCATGAGCATATCCCTTTTTACATATTTTGAGGATTAGTCAGTTTTAATTAATTAAAAACATTCCACATCGCCGAGAGATGTATCAATCAGATTTAACATGCGGACGTGCTGTAGAGATGATGAGCACTCATGTCTCTTCTCTGACTAAATGATCAATGAAGAGAATTTTTACAACTCTGATCTCAGCAATGAAGCAAGTAATTACAGATTTAAACCCTTAATTAGGAGCGGCTGACTAATTTTAGAATAAGTGTGTTTGGCTATAGTTTGATGTTAACTCTGAGGGGGGTTGAAGCTTGAATACGCACAAATGTTTTTTTCATCTTGCAGTTCCACAAACTAATTCCCCACATTGCTGCTGTCAAAATGTCATAGTGAATAAAGCGTTTTGAGCTTGTTCTGATATTATTCCAGCAGTCATTTGCGTGTCGTTGCTCCTGTAGCAGTGACTCAGCCACAATCTTCGTATTTTTCCCTCTTTATTCTCTCCCTCCTACCCTACCTCCCTCTCCTTCTCTTACCTACTCAGTCAGCAGATAGACACAGGGCCACGTCACTTAAACCTGGCCGTCATTTCCTCTCGCTGCTTGTGTGTTATCTGTCACACACTCACCCACACAAATCCCCCTAAACCAGATAGTGTTTTAACAGCAGAACACTAATGCACCCCGCTGGCCGGCAGAGGTACTGCAGAGGCCTTTGTGCTGTTTGACCAACACAAAGACTCAGCACTTTTAGAGTCACAATTAGTTATGATGAACGTTCTAAAAGCAGTACCCTCAAATAAACAATGACTATCTCTCCCAAACAGTCTTCTTGATATAAGGTATTTGCAGGTCACTAAGTTTAAAATACTTTATCAGCTTAAAAGGTGTCGATGCTTTCAAAATACTTACATTTATTTGCATTTTTTTAAATGTGGTTGATGCTCATCTGCTTCTTTAAAATATATATGTATTTCATATTTAAAAAATCACAGTATAATTACCTATAGGCAGCAATTGTTGCCTGCCTAAGAGAAATCTTAAATTGATGCAGGAAAAAATAATCCTAAAGAACAGTGCCCCCTTTTTAGCTTACTTATATATTTCCAAAACATTTGGTTAAAATGAGAAATAACAATTATTATTATTATGACAAATAAATGATTGAGGTGATGACTACAGACACCTTTATTACTCAGACAGCTGTATTGATAAAGCTGAATTAGTGTCTAAATGACAAATGTTTGCTCACGGCGTTGCCTCTTTCTGTCGTTACAAATAGGAAACAAGCAGAAGTGGGTTCCCCTGATGATCGAGGTGAAGTCTGAGGGTCCCAGGGAGCGTTCGGCCTCCAGGAACAACAGCCGGCAGAACGAAAACCCCCGTCTGCCCCCCAACGCCAGGAACGACCTCAGAGGTCAGTGTGTTCAGGTCACTTTCTGCAGTACAGATGCTCTTACAGAAGTCTGACAAAGGCAGTGCTGAAACACTGAACACATTCTTTAGTAGCTATTTTTTCTAGTCTTTGTCTGCAGTGCAGACTTTTCAATCAAATCTGACCTGCAGACGTGCTGAAGAAGTGATGAGATCTTCATGTCTCTTCTCTGACTAAACATCAATGAAGATAACCTTTCACAACTCTGATCTCAGCATTTAAGCAAACCAATACAACTGAAATAACCTTACCTAGCTGGTTCAACATGAAGATTTAAATGCCAGGAGATATTTACTCTAGTTTTACTGTTTGACTCGTGACAGCAGATTTAAATTGGTTGTACAGGATATGTCGGTATAACTGCATCTGCTTGATCTATTGGAGACATTACTGCTTTTAGCTGGTTGAGGCGGTGTGCCTGACTCAGCAGCAGGATGTGGACCGATCTGCTTCTGCTTTGATAACCCTGCTCTTTAAATGTACATTTATCAAGGAAAGGAAGTGTGTGTGTAGCACAGCGGAGATTCTATCTTGATATGCAAGATTTCTAGTTAAAAGTAACCTTCTTTTGATCAAAATCAGCAATAGTTATGCAGACGATTCTGCCAACACGATTTGACAGTGGTTTTATTCTACTGTGCTGCTGTGTTTGTGCTAAAGGCTGTTTGTTTCCCTGCAGACTGGCACAGTCAAAAGTACGAGCGGGAGTGGCGTGACGACCACGACGAGGTGTCCAGCGTGAAGAGCGAGGGAGCACCTTTCCGAGGAGGGTTCAGAGGTCGAGGACGTGGAAGAGGGAGAGGCCGGGGGAGAGGCAGAGGAAGAGGTATGTGTGGGGGTTTTTCTTCATACTTATAGAAACAAATGTTAAATAGAACTGAGTAATACAACAATGTACAAACAAATGTAAACAAAAGTAACTTTCTTTTTTTGTTTCCTGAAATATGGAGGTTAGAATTTCCTCATTTTGTGTGTTGGTTAGGAGTAGAGACTTTCTTTAGTACCATTTTAGTTACTCGACAGTGTAACAAATGATAAAGAATGTGTCATTTTGATGTTGACACTCAAACATTAAGAATGTAGTGAGATAAGGTAAGATGGATAAGGTTTGTACGAACTGACACACAGGATGAAAAGTCATATACGCATAATCTTAGTAGTTAGCTTATGGCTATTTTTGTTAAACATAATCAAATAAAAATGTCTCTTACCTCATTTGGAGATGTATGGGTCAAAAGTAGCCTTCAGACGTGCTGTAGAGATGATGAGATCTTCATGTCTCTTCTCTGACTAAACATCAATGAAGATACTCTTCACAACTCTGATCTCAGCATTTAAGCAAGTATGTTTTCATGGCCACAGGATAGCTCAGTGGTTAGTCTTCAGACTGCCAGGTCTGCAGATCATCAAGCACTGCCCCCCCCCCCTCTGTCCCCCCTTTCAATGCTGCATCTACAAATAAAGGCACTCTGGCCTGATTTAAAAAAATAAAAATCTTGCGGGAAATGTTGTTTTCGGTCTCTCAAATATGGAGATTTGGATGTCAAATAAAACAAATTATTAATATAGGAAATAATTGGTGGATTAATGGCTACAATAAGTTATAATCAATTACAGCCCTGAAGTTGTATTGCTCAGCAGTCATAATGAATGGTAGTGTAATTCCCTACAAACAGTGGGGTTAATATATTAATTTACTAATCACAGTTTCTTGCAATCAGACACATGACACTGTTTTTGAATGGTTAAAGACATGAAGCAACAAGTTGTGGCTTTGGGAAGCTATGACTGGTACATGCTGTGCAGCTGAAGGGCAATAACTTCCCTGGATAAAACAAACAAGCTGCAATGTGTATTCACACATTTCACCTACTGCAAACTAAAGCTTCATAGCACACAGACATGAGAGTAGCATCAATCCTCATGTATTTGAAACCTGACATATTCTGTCTAGTTTTGGTAATGTTTTGGCTGACTCTGCTCTCAAACTGGGTGGTTGGCGACCCTCGCTGGCCCCACGGAGGGTACAGAGAAAACAGAAAGTGCAATAACAAGCAGTGAGTGTTGGAAAGAGTTGAGGCATGTTGGATCCAGCAGCAGAGGCGGGTTTCCCCGAAGGCCTGTTAGTTTTGGCAGGTTCTCCTTTCTCTTCCCTCGCTGTGTTTCACTCTCTTTTTATACACATTGTCTTTTCTTACTCTATTCCCTCTTCTTTATTTTCCTATTAACTGTCTCGATTTTCAGCCTCCTCTTTCACAAAACCCAGCTCCAGACTGAGATGGTGAAAGCACTTCTCCCTTTTTTTATTTGAAGAGTGAAGCCAAGTTTAAAAAATAAACAATGAGTAGTTTGAAATAAAGTAATTGTCCATTACGTCCAGCTTAACGTCCCTCCTGTCTCCTTAAGGACGAGCAACAGCATCTCAGAATACAGTAAATATAGTCAATGCCAAATGTATCAGTTTCATTTTAAGGGCATTTTTAAACATTGTTTTAAATATAATAGAACCACATGCAGCATTAGGATTCTTTTGCATGTGGTGATGTGATCATGTGGTATTTTCACTTATAGACGGAATACAGGGCATTTTGTATGTTATATATTTCAGGAAACTAAAAAAAATATTTAACGACCACTATTAAATCTCTGTATTTTTCTGTCCTTTCAAGGCCACTATGACCACCATTACGGCTACAAGTCCTACGACATGAAAGACGGTTCCTGCGGCCAGAAGTTTGGCAACACGGTGACCTACTACTACGACAACATGAGCAGCAACGACCTTTTCTCCGTGGACCACGACCATCTGAAGGACTACATCAAGAGGCAGATGTAAGTTTGGCTCCTTCTCTTACAGACAGAGGCAGTGCTGAAACACTGAACATGGGAACAACACGTTCTTTAGTAGTAACAGGTTTTTCAAGTCTGAGATTTTCTGAGCAGATTTTCAATCAAATCCTACCTGCAGACGTGCTGATGAAGTGATGAGATATTCATGTCTCTTCTCTGAAGAACATCAATGAAGATAACCTTTCACAACTCTGATCTCAGCATTTAAGCAAACCAATATGTGACAAAGCCATATCTAACTGTGATCAAACACTGCTCTAATCACAGTACATTTAAAACTTTATATATTTATTTGATGAGCTATTGTAGTGTGAAACAGATTAAATAATCTTAACCCAAATCTTTGCTACATCATTTTACCAACTAGAGTTCAGGCTACGAGCTTGTCATCTGTTTTGGAGGCTTTTTGAACTCGGTCAAGTAAAAAAAAAAAAGGCCCTAGAAGTTATTTAAAGTTATAAAGGTCCTTGCTGCTAATGAACCTCTGTGGTTATGATTAATCTAATTTACATACAACCTCAGATAACATTTTCCAAAACAACTATGTGTCTCCTTCTAAATGAAACCCCTTACCCATCCACAACAGGTCGGCAGTCAGTTTGGCAGATGTAGACACTTCCCCATGTGTTGAGACAGCTGAACTGCAGTAGCATAACATTTTCCTCGTGTGCACTCAGTGCCCCCTTCAGTTTAAATCTCTATCAAGTTACTTAGAGGCTTTGAAATCCTGTCAAATATTCTGCTTTTGATTAGGGGTTCCTTGGGAGGTATTCTTTCCCATGTGGTAATGCCTGTTTCCACAAAATGTTTTTAATACTCTTTTCATTTGTTCTGCTCCTGGTCTGACTGGGTTCTCATTTGGATAAGATATCTCTTGTTTCCCTTACTGCTCTCTTGTGCTTCCGTAAAGCAGGGACATTTTAAAGTGAAAGATGTGAGGAGTCGTCTACATACAGCTGATTTGTGTCCCTGTTCTCCTGCCCCCTTTAGTGAGTACTACTTCAGCCTGGACAACCTGGAGCGGGACTTCTTCCTGCGGAGGAAGATGGACCAGGAGGGCTTCCTGCCCCTCAGCCTCGTCGCCAGCTTCCACCGAGTGCAGGCCCTCACCACCGACGTGAACCTCATCTTGGAAGTAAGCACATTTATCACAGTACAGTGACGTTGGAAAACATCATTTTAGCTGTGATGTGGTAAGTGAGTCAAAACTGTCAAACTGTTGTTTATCCATAGTTAATTCAATTCAAGTTTTTGATGAGTTGAGTTAAATCAGCTACATTTCAAGTATAAAAGCATATAATAGAAACTTTGAATACTGTCAAAATGTAAAAACGTAGTATAATTAAAACCAATGCTCCTCAGATAAAAGCTCTACATTTTAAAGACTAGTTTGATGTTTGGGAAATAAACATATTCGTCATGTGACAAATGTAATACTTGTCCATTACTTGGCAAATTGTTATTTTTAAATGTTGACTTTTGTATGCATGAAAACAAGCTATTATGGGTTATTCAGTTTTCTTTACGAGGTGTTGGTGAAACTTTAAATTTGAGATTTTCAGAGCAGATTTTCAATGAAATCCTACCTGCAGACGTGCTGATGAAGTGATGAGATCTTCATGTCTCTTCTCTGAAGAACATCAATGAAGATAACCTTTCACAACTCTGATCTCAGCATTTAAGCAAACCAATATCTGACAGCCATATCTAACTGTGAACAAACACTGCTCTAATCACAGTACATTTAAAACTTTATACATATATATTTATTTGATGAGTTATTGTAGTGTGAAACAGATTAAATAATCTTAACCCACATCTTTGCTACATAATTTTACCAAACTAGAGTTCAGGCTACAAGCTTGTCATCTGTTTTGGAAGCTTTTTGAACTCGGTCGAGTTAAACGTAGTATAATCGAAACCAATGCATCTCAGATAAAAGCTCTACATTTTAAAGACTAGTTTGATATTTGGGAAATAAACGTATTCGACATGTGACAAATTCAATACTTGGCCATTACTTGGGGAATTGTTATTTTTACACTTCGGCTTTTGTATGCATGAAAACAAGCTATTATGGTTATCCACTGTTCTTTACGAGGTGTTGGTGGAACATTAAAGGATTTTCTTATGAAAGAAAATGTATCTCCTTAATGCCATTTATGAAAATATGAGGTCATGCTTGAGACGCACTGAACACAAACGTATTACTTCATATCCTTTGACATACGAGCGATCCTTCATGCGGTACCGTATCTCTGTTATTAATGCTCAGACTAACTGACCCATCGTCTCTCCTAACAGGCTTTAAAGGGCAGTCAGGAAGTGGAGATAATTGACGGGAAGATCCGTCGGAAGGTGGACCCAGAGCAATGGCCCCTCCCGGGACTAGCCATGCTCAACCAACCCCAAACAGATTTCTCCCAGCTCATCAACTGCGCAGAGTTTATCCCGAGACAGATGCCCGATGAGCCCAGAGGTGAGCAGTCTGATCTACTCTTAACCTGTTAATTAAAGTGAAATTTGGATTAAAAAAAGAAAATCAAGTTTAGTTTTTCTCGATTCTGCTTTAGCAATTTGCCTCAATCTGAAATGAAGTCAGTACAGTATTTTTTTTTAAGCAACAAAAATATAAACACTTAAAATAATCATATGAAATGTTCTGTCTGCTGCAGGCTCTCCCAGGTCCTCAACACCGGTGAGGAAACATAGCAAGACTGATTTAGACACCTCCAACCTCAAGACGATGCCCAAGGGCCTCTCCGCCAGCCTCCCCGACCTGGACTCCGAGTGCTGGATCGAGGTCAAGAAGAGGCCCAGACCCTCCCCGGCCAGACCCAAGGCCAGCGCAGAGAAGGTGAGGGTCCGCGCCATTCACTCATAACAATAGCCGCGTTCACACCAAGTACTTTGCCGTACTTAGTTCCCAGCACTTAGTGCCCAGCACTTAGTTCCCCTATGGAACTAAGAGCCGATCGCGTTCACACCGGAATAAGTTCCCTGACGGAAGATTACGCAAATCAGCCGCTGACGTCACTTCGTCGTCTTCTGCTTTGGGTTTACTGGCAGGCCGCAAACAACTTCACGGTGTATACTGCCACCCGAAGTCCCCGGCCGGAAGTCCCCGGAGTTGGGGACTAATAATGCTAATGCTAATAATGCTAATGCGAGGATAATAAAATGGCAGCTCTACAAAACATTTCAGAGTTTTACGGGGCGTGGTTTGTAATTCGACCAGGCAATCAGAACTGGGGCACTTGTTTTCCCCCAGGAGAGTACCACCTCTCTAGCAGGCACTAAAAATGGGGGTAAAAGTTCCCGGCACTAAGTACTCTTTTTGGTGTGAACTAAACAGGAAAAGTACGGGGAAAAGTACTCCGGTGTGAACTCGCCTATTGTTCCATCCAAGTTTCCATTGTTTGGTTTCACATTGACCATAATGCTTTTTGGCCACTTGCCAGCAAAAACTTGTTTGTAATGTCACAAAAAAGTGCCTATTAACTTTATAAAGAAATAAAAAAAATTTAAAACATGTCAAGAAGTCATTTAGTTCTGATTCTTTTAATATTGGTGCAAATTGAATAGTCTACGTTTTCTCCAAAGAAATAGATAGTTTAAAGGTGTTCATGTCACTTGTACAGCTCACTGTAAATATTGTATTATCCCATCTGACACACCTTTCTCTGATCTGGTAGTGTTAATTTAAACTAACAATCTTTGTTTTCCATGTGCAACAACTCTGCTCAAATCATCAGGATTTAAAATCAATTCTGTCAAAATGTAAAAACGTAGTATAATTTAAAACTAACGCACCTCAGATAAAAGCTCTACATTTTAAAGACTAGTTTGATTTTTGGGAAATAAACGTATTCGACATGTGACAAATGTAATACTTGGCCATTACTTGGCAAATTGTTATTTTTACACTTTGGCTTTTGTATGCATGAAAACAAGCTATCATGGGTTATTCAGTGTGCTTCACAAGGTGTTGGTGGACCATTACATTTGTGAGATTATCGGAGCAGATTTTCAATCAAATCCTACCTGCAGACGTGCTGATGAAGTGATGAGATATTAATGTCTCTTCTCTGAAGAACATCAATGAAGATAACCTTTCACAACTCTGATCTCAGCATTTACGCAAACCAATTAAACAAATTGCCATATCTAACTGTGATCAAGTGAACAAACACTGCTCTAATCACAGTACATTTAAAACTTGACGGCATTTATTGTAAATCCTGATTAAAACACTGATGATTTGAGCTGAAATATAAAGAAATCTTAACATTTAAAAACATGTCAAGAAGTCATTATTTAGTTCTGATTGTTTTAATATTGGTGCAAATTGAATAGTCTACTTTTCCTCGAAAGAAATAGATAATTTAAAGGGTTTTTTAAATAAAAAAAAACACACTAATGCTGTCATGTAGCCATTGGGCATTGTTTACCCAGCAAATGAATTCCATTTTCCCATTCAGACTTTTTTAACACAATTTATCCTTTTCTTTTCTTCTCTTATTTTTTAAAGCTTTTTCATGATTTTTAGAAAACTACCAATTATGAGTTAACCTTTTCCTCATGGTATATTTAACTTGTCATGCCGGTATTATTTCCCCATCCATTCACGTCTTCACATGCCTGCTCTCTCCTCCTCCTGTGTGCTCGGTGTTGATTCACTGATGCAGGCCCCCTCGTTGCAGCAGCCGAAGGAAAAGGAGGACTTGGTGCGCTGCCTGCTGCCTCAGCCCGGCTCCTCGCCCTCCCCCGCCACCACAGGAACTAAGGTGAATACGCTTCTTGATTATCATTCTTCTAAAAACAGAAGATCTGCAACTAATAGTTGGACTATCATATGTATTCGTTTTTTGGGATTTTCTGAGGATCAATTCTGACAATTAAGTCTTTCATGAGTCAAAGCATGTAATTGGCTTCCAACAATGTCTTCATTTTTCTAAATGGTTATCTGTGATCAGGACGGAGCGGAGCCGGACGAACCGGAGGAGCTGGACTTCATGTTCGACGAGGAGATGGAGCAGATTGACGGACGGCGCAACACCTTCACCGATTGGTCGGACGATGATACGGACGGCGAGATCGACGACCAAGACGTCAACAAGATCCTGATCGTGACTCAGACGCCGCCCTACCTGAGGAAACACCCGGGGGGCGACCGCACGGGACACCACACCTCGCGCTCCAAGCTGACCTGCGAGCTCGGAAAAGTGATCAACGACGGGCTCTTCTACTACGAGCGGGACCTGTGGGACGACACGTGCGATCCCGAGTACGCCACCATCAAGGTGAGCTCATTCTGCGCGATTAACCTACAATTTATTATTTACTATCATGGTTAGGGTCTACGGTTTTATTTGACCATCAACGAGAAGTGGACGGCCCCAACATGTAAAGAAGATGGAAAATGTTCTGCTCTACATTGTGAGAGAATTTGGGTTTTTTTCTTTGTCCCTTTTAAAAAAAAGTCTGAGGAACAGCGGTGAAGCAATATGTAGTTTGATTTTGATTATTACAAAAATGATATACTTATATTGAGCCATGCTTTAGTTTAAATAACTTTTTTGATATGACAATCTGTGAGCCTTAAGTTAAAAATGAAACTCGAGTCTGATTCGAAGGTTTTCAAATGTTACTTGGCCATTACTTGGCAAATTGTTATTTTTTTATTTTGAGTGTGAGAGCAGATTTTCAATCAAATCCTACCTGCAGACGTGCTGATGAAGTGATGAGATCTTCATGTCTCTTCTCTGAAGAACATCAATGAAGATAACCTTTCACAACTCTGATCTCAGCATTTAAGCAAACCAATATGTGACAGCCATATCTAACTGTGAACAAACACTGCTCTAATCACAGTACATTTAAAACTTTATACATATTTATTTGATGAGTTATTGTAGTGTGAAACAGATTAAATAATCTTAACCCACATCTTTGCTACATCATTTTACCAAACTAGAGTTCAGGCTACAAGCTTGTCATCTGTTTTGGAAGCTTTTTGAACTCGGTCAAGTTAAAAGACGTTGTATAATCGAAACCAATGCACCTCAGATAAAAGCTCTACATTTTAAAGACTAGTTTGATATTTGGGAAATAAACGTATTCGACATGTGACGAATTCAATACTTGGCCATTACTTGGGGAATTGTTATTTTTACACTTTGGCTTTGTATGCATGAAAACAAGCTATTATGGTTATCCATGTATGATAACCTCTCCCAACTCTAATCTTACATTAAGATTAGACAGTTACATTAATGTCTAAAGAGACAGCTCACTTTAGTTTAGGGCTGCAACAAACGACTAATTTGATAATCGATTAATCTGTCGATTCATGAAACGATTAATCGACTATTCGGACTATTACTGTATGCCTTGCACAATTTCTCAAACGCTCTTATTTAGCTTGAGGTTGTTTTAGGCATGTGGAAACTAACAATGAAGACAATACAGATGAATACTTGATTCAAAAATACATATATTATTAAATTAACTAAACACATTTTGAACCAAATTAACATTGCTTTTTATTTAAATTAAATAAATAATATTTTACATCAAAAGAAACAACAGTGTTTTAACAAATCGTATTAAATAATGTGATGACAGAACTGTGAACAGAATAGCTGAAACTTTAACAAAATAAATAACTCGGTTACCTCTAATCATTAACCCATGTTTGTATAATTGAGTTAACCCTGTGTGTTGCTGCTAGCATACATAACACCTGACGTGGAAAAGTTACTCGTGGATGGAGCTACAGAGCTGCTAGAAAGACAGTCGAACCCGGTGCATTCCTCAGTCTGAATGTGGTGCACTTTTGCTAAATGTTTAGACAAATTGCTCGTGTTACCGCCCTCACATGCTAAACTCTCATTGCACTTTTGGTAACGAGCATTCTCCACATCGAGACGGGTAAAGTTTAACCACACCTCGGAGCGCGTTCACTCCGCCATCTCCTCCGTGTGTTGCTGCATGTAGCAGCTGCGTGTGTGTGTGTAAACTGCCCCGCCCACTCGCACACAGACGGGGGAGAGATCTCGTCTGATCGAAAATACATCATAGACGCATTTGTTTGTCTTTTTGCATATTAGAAACTAGTTGGCGACACTAAGACTGCTATTAGTGATGGGAATTCCGGCTCTTCTTGGTGAGCCGGATCATTTGGCTCGGCTCACCAAGAAGAGCCGGCTCTTTCGGCTCCCAAACGGCTCTTCAGTTTACCACATATTATACCTTTTAATTAAATCAAATGTAGCCCTGTTTTGACTAATGATTTATATGTGTACACATATATCACTTTTTTATATCACAATTATTCAATACATCCTTTGTACTGAAGTATTCAAAAGTAAAAATTACATGTTTAATATAAATGATTTGCTGTGGCCAATTGTTTTCATTGCATTTACAGACCCGTGTAACTCTCTGAGACCACCCAATGAATGCATTGACTTGCTTCTGGAACCACGCTACACAAAACAGATAGCAACACCTATAAAAACTATTTTAAAAAAAGGGGCTACTGTATCGACCTATATAAAGTATATAAATATAGTTTTTCTTTTCAAAATACCAAAAAGATCCTGCATTTTAGCCATGCCTCATTTCACTCTATTTGCTCTTTCCAGCGCTGTTTTTGCAGGGGGCTGATTCTGTGAGCTGCAGCTGACCACGCCCCCCTGCAGGAGAGGGGAGCGTGCTCTGAGATCAGCTGCTGGGCTGTCAGAAGAGGGGGAGAAAAAGAGATCTCCGTCCTCCGTGTTTTATTCTTATAGAAGTAAGAAGAGAAGTAATGGGGCAGAAACCCTCCTTTTTACGCAGCGGTCCAGGCATAGACATCAAACGGCGACACATATTCAGTTGCCAGTTACTTTGGCATTAGGGCAGGGATATCTAGATACTTCCCAAGGTCTGAAATCATGAAGTGTGCTACTTTTAAAGCAAGCAACGATGTTTTCAAATCTGTAATCAAAAAGCTCCTCAAAAACACTATTGAAGCAGTTCCTGCCGTTGCTACGTTAGTTCAAACGGTAACAACGGACTACTTTTATTTGCGGATGCTTGTCAATTTAAATCAATACATAAAACTATTTTTTAAATCATAAAAGTATTTCAATTAATATTGGGAGTCATGTCGTTACTTTGTTGAGAATGTGGCCATGTAATAAGCGGGATAATGTGCAGTGACTTGGTCATTATGTGTTTAATATCACCTTCATGCCGATCTAGATCCCTCCGCAAAAAACAAACAAAACCCGGCTCAGAGAGCCGGCTCCCGTCGTTCACTTAAAAGACCGACACATCACTAACTGCTATATAATCAGGGCTGCACATAACTGGTGCGCAGAGAGAGGGAGGGTGCACCGGTACCGGCGCTGTTGTTATTAGAATCTGGTGCCGTGCTAGCTGCTCTAACGGATATAAGAAGAAGATGTTTCTACAATGATGTGGAGGGAGAGTCCTCTCCAGTCAGACCGAGAGACTGATAACTACAGCTCAGTGAGGTAAAGGACTCTTGAGTGTTTAAATAGTTCACGTTAGTCTAAGTTTCAAACAGTTTGGTCACAATTTATGTAAACACATATTTCCAAGGCACTCCTTTATAATTATTGGGATAAACAGGTTTTAAATCATTCCAATGTATACTATAGGACAGTAACCAAAAATATCCTTTAAAACTGGAGAGATAAAAAAAAATGCATAAATAAATGTTAAGGTAAAATAAGATATGAATGAACAACACAAATAAAATAAGTTACATTCATTTGTTATTGGCTATGGTAGGTTATTGGTTATGTTCACATCCACTTGTCTAAGATGACAACAGAGACTTTCGACCCAAACCCAGCTGTTGACTTGTGGATGCAAGCAGCTAATCGCAGACTCAACCAGAGAGAAAGAAGTAGGCCTACATCATCAGCTACCATGTCTGACAGAGAGGAGAACAGTGAGGAGAACAGTCAGGAGGGTAGTGATGACAGCTTGTAGGATTACTGCTCGTGCTAATGTTGTCTTGTGTTCACCTCTGCATGTGTGTTCTGTGTTCACCTCTGCATGTGTGTTCAGTGCCGTGTGTCTGGCAAATAAAGTCAAGACCCCCTCAAAAGTTACGGTTTATTTCATTTTAAGGATGAGCACCAAGCAACATCTCCAGGTGCTCCTTTGAGAACCAGGGCAAAAAAGTTATGTGCACCCCTGTATATAATGCTATGTAGCAATAATACATGACATATATTTTTTAAATGTCTCCAGTAAACCGATAAAACGTTGGAGATTAACGGCGCGTAAAACACACGTGATGTTGTGACCAACAAATCGACGACTGAATTAGTTGGCAACTCATTTGGTAATCGATTAAGTCGATTAGTTGTTGCACCCCTACTTTAGTTTAAACATGACAGAAATGCCATTTCATTAGTTCATTTCTGGATTTGATGTCACCAACCAGCCAGAAAATGAGTGTTTTTCTTCAATTACAAGTTTTGATGTTGACAGTCCAGGATTTGTTTTGCGTATTCAAAAATAAAAGGCTTGAGTTGTAAGAAAAAAACAAATGTGCTTGTGATTAGGCTCCACAAACCACAATAAGTTGGTTTGTGTTGTATTTTCGGGTTTTATTGATAAAAAAGCACCTATTATTGTGTCGGGGTAAGTTTTGGGACCACATGATCCACCTGGAAACGTATCAGAGGTCAAGACAATCAAACAACACAGTCTGTAGTGCTCCATATCTCTATCAGGCTCTTCTGACAGCTTCCACCTCAGTCATTGGCAGATTGGAGGTGTTTCTGCCCAAAACCAGAGGTAGATTTAGAGCTTTTTCTGGATATGGAAACCCGACACAATAGAAATGTTTTTGTTTTGGTTTTGTTGTCATTGCTGCCCATTGTAGCATTGTTGAACTCATTGTGAGGCCTTCACGTGCTCGGCAGCACACATCCAGCTGCGTGTGGAACAGGGGGCACTTGTTTATAAATAAACCCCACAAACACGGCCTCGGCCTGAGGGGTCGAGGCAACAGGCTACAGGGGGAACAAAGATGGACGCTCAGAGATCTGAAGATTCTTGGTGGAATAAAGGAGAGAGTGTGAGTGTATAATCCAACACACAGACTGGTACATAAGACTAGCTTATAGGAAGGTTTGACATTGAGCTGCTGTTGTTGGAGGAGCAGTACAGTTTTGTTTTTAGGTTCTACAGGCGTGGAAAATTCAGGGTTTTTTGTTGCTGAAACTGAACTGGTTGAGTTACTCGTGTCAGAACAGTGAGGGCCGCAACATGAAGCTGAAAAGAGTGTTTTTGGCAGCCATGTTTTGCTGCTGCATCACAATCTCCAGATTACTGCAGATAAGGTCTGTTGAAAAGAATACATGTTAACATTTTCCTCAATGTTCCAGGTTATTTATTTATTGCTTTATTTTTCCTTGTATATTTGTGAAAGAGCTTAGGTCTCAGTACAGTTTGGTTTTTTGGAGGGATGTATTTTGTTTTAAATTCTGTGAAAGTCTTTTTTTATGTTTTGCTTACAGTGTATTAATATCTTAATCCTTATTGTCCCTCCTTGAGAAATATTTTTATTTAATTAAAAAGCTATATTGACATAACACACATATGAACTCTTGTTTTTCTCTGTTTCACAGCAAGAGGTGGAGAACTTCAAAAAGGTCCACCTGATCAGCCGCGAACAGTTTGACGGCCTGACTCCCGAACCCCCTATCGACCCCAAGCAGGAGGTCCCTCCTGCCCCCCCCCAAACCCCAGCAGAGTAAGTACACAAAAACACATGGTATTTCTTTAAGAAGGAAATTGTAATAACATACTACACTATATTTGTTGTACTCTTTTATGGCATATTCAATTATGTTTTTTGTAACATACTATACCATTTATCTTAAAAATAAATAGGGCATATTACTTTTTTATGCATGTTTTGTAATTTGTTTAATGGCATACTAACTTTTCTTTACGGAATATTATGCTTCGATTTCTTAAACTAAACATACATGCTATAACTATATATCTTTTATACGTTTTTAAGGCTCTGCTATACGACAACTTATTGTGACATTTATAAATTTTTTGACATTTGCTTCTTTTTTAATGTTATTCAAAAGTCTTACTTCACTATTGGTCATTTCAAATGACACACTGAGTTGCATTTAAATTATTAAGGCAGCTACTTTTTTTTATACAGATTTTAATACAAATATTTCCCTTCAGTCCCCACAGACGCTTTGGCGAACAAACTATTCGGAGCCCCTGAGCCCTCTTCAATAGCTCGCTCGCTTCCGACTACCGTGCCTGACTCGCCCAACTACCGCAGTGCCCGCACGCCCCGCACACCGCACACGCCGCACAGGAAGGACTCCACCATGACGCCGCGCTTCTACCCCGTGGTGAAGGAGAGTCGACCTGTAGATGCCAAGGTAAGACGGCTCCCATGTGAGGGGGACAGACTTAAATTAGTGGATGTTCACTTTGTATTGTCCCAATACCTAGTTTTATTAGGATAAAGAAACCATTTGTAAACGGTAGTGGTTTGACAAAATGTTGCTGGGGTAACAGTCAGGTCGGCGTCTGACAATTTTAAAAATCAATGTCGAGTCAAACCCTACAAAGGATACATGTTGCCTAAAGAGTAACCATAAAGCACATGCCCCTCTTAACCAGTTCAATATTTCTATAATAGGACTCAATATGTAGTCCCACGTGTGTATGCAATATATAGTACCTGCAAAATAGTCTTAATAATAGAATATAATCCCCAAAACGCTGTTCCAGGTTTTCTTAACATGTTATTTATCTCTACTTTCAGACGCCCAGGAAGAGGAAGACCCGACACAGCTCCAACCCTCCCATGGAGTGTCACGTGGGCTGGGTGATGGACTCCAGAGAGCATCGCTCCCGTACCACCTCTGTCAGGTGAGACTCACTCTCTGCACTCTCTCCTTTTGGACAAAGACAAATCTGATTTCTGTTGTAAAACAGTACAAGACTTCAGATAAAATGTTTCTTAAATTCTGGCAGAATTGGAAATTAGTCTTTCATTATTCGTTTTTTGACAACTCACTATATTTGTTTATATAATAATGAAAGTTGTTGTATTTTTTGGATCTTGAAACAGTTCTAAATGTATTGTAAATTGGGAGGCTTTACCTACATTTTAATTAATGTTATGACTCATTAATGTCTAGAAACAGACTCAGGAGAGGGTTAGCCTCATTAAGGCTTAACTTTTGTTTTTAACTACTGAAATGTAGTCCCCTTAATATATCCTTTATGATAGCCCAACAACATCACTTCACTGACGTAGCTCTATGATTTGATGTGGCTAATACTCACTCTGTCCTCCCCCCCTTTCAGCTCCACTGCCAGCCCATCAGAGGGCACACCCGTCATGGGTAACATCGGCTGCACACCTCAGTCCCTCCCTAAGTTCCAGCACCCCTCACATGAGCTGCTCAAGGAAAACGGCTTCACGCAACACGTTTACCACAAGTACCGCCGGCGCTGCCTAAACGGTAAACACTTCTACTTCTACTATCCATTCTGCAGAATTAATTAGAGGTAACGTCATACTTGATGTCTTGATGTTTTACTGTTAATCTTATATTTTAATATAAGCCTGTCATCTTAATGTCTCTTCTTCAACCAATCACAGAGCGAAAGCGGCTGGGTATCGGCCAATCACAGGAGATGAACACACTCTTCCGCTTCTGGTCATTTTTCCTGCGGGATCACTTCAACAGGAAGATGTACGAAGAGTTCAGACAGCTGGTGGTCGAGGACGGGAAAGAAGGATACAGGTGAGACCTTTGAACACTGAATGGGTGTAAATATAAGTAGCAGTAACACATTTGAAAGCTACACTGAACAAAAATATAAATGCAACACTTTTGTTTTTGCTCCCATTTTTCATGAGATGAACTCAAAGATCTAAAACATTTTCTATATACACAAAATAACCATTTCTCTCAAATATTGTTCACAAATCTGAAAAAATCTGTGATAGTGAGCACTTCTCCTTTGCCGAGATAATCCATCCCACCTCACAGGTGTGGCATATCAAGATGCTGATTAGACAGCATGATTATTGCACAGGTGTGCCTTAGGCTGGCCCCAATAAAAGGCCACTCTAAAATGTTCAGTTTTATCACACAGCACAATGCCACAGATGTCGCAAGTTTTGAGGGAGCGTGCAATTGGCATGCTGACAGCAGGAATGTCCACCAGAGCTGTTGCCCGTGAATTGAATGTTCATTTCTCTACCATAAGCCGTCTCCGAAGGCGTTTCAGAGAATTTGGCATTACATCCAACCGGCCTCACAACCGCAGACCACGTGTAACCACACCAGCCCAGGACCTCCACATCCAGCATGTTCACCTCCAAGATCGTCTGAGACCAGCCACTCGGACAGCTGCTGCAACAATCGGTTTGCATAACCAAAGAATTTCTGCACAAACTGTCAGAAACCGTCTCAGGGAAGCTCATCTGCATGCTCGTCATCCTCATCGGGGTCTCGACCTGACTCCGGTTCGTCGTCGTCGTCACCAACTTGAGTGGGCAAATGCTCACATTCGATGGCGTCTGGCACGTTGAAGAGGTGTTCTCTTCACGGATGAATCCCGGTTTTCACTGTTCAGGGCAGATGGCAGACAGCGTGTGTGGCGTCGTGTGGGTGAGGGGTTTTCTGATGTCAATGTTGTGAATCGAGTGGCCCATGGTGGTGGTGGGGTTATGGTATGGGCAGGCGTATGTTATGGATGACGAACACAGGTGCATTTTATTGATGGCATTGTGAATGCACAGAGATACCGTGACGAGATCCTGAGGCCCATTGTTGTGCCATTCATCCACGACCATCACCTCATGTTGCAGCATGATAATGCACGGCCCCATGTTGCAAGGATCTGTACACAATTCCTGGAGGCTGAAAACATCCCAGTTCTTGCATGGCCAGCATACTCACCGGACATGTCACCCATTGAGCATGTTTGGGATGCTCTGGATCGGCGTATACGACAGCGTGTTCCAGTTCCTGCCAATATCCAGCAACTTGGCACAGCCATTGAAGAGGAGTGGACCAACATTCCACAGGCCACAATCAACAACCTGATCAACTCTATGCGAAGGAGATGTGTTGCACTGCGTGAGGCAAATGTTGGTCACACCAGATACTGACTGGTTTTCGGACCCCCCCAGACCCCCCCAATAAAGCAAAACTGCACGTTTCAGAGTGTCCTTTTATTGTGGCCAGCCTAAGGCACACCTGTGCAATAATCATGCTGTCTAATCAGCATCTTGATATGCCACACCTGTGAGGTGGGATGGATTATCTCAGCAAAGGAGAAGTGCTCACTATCACAGATTTTTTCAGATTTGTGAACAATATTTGAGAGAAATGGTTATTTTGTGTATATAGAAAATGTTTTAGATCTTTGAGTTCATCTCATGAAAAATGGGAGCAAAAACAAAAGTGTTGCATTTATATTTTTGTTCAGTGTAGATAATATGTCAGTAATAGGGTAGTTGTTGAGGAGATATGATGTTCTGTCCTAAAATCCGTTCTTACTGAGAGCTTTAGGTGGGTTGTTAAATTAGACCGGACTTTCTTTTTTTTTTTTTTGCAATAATGGAAAATGTAAATGTAACTTGTTGTGTGTTTCAGGTACGGTTTGGAGTGCCTGTTCAGGTACTACAGCTACGGTCTAGAGAGGAAGTTCAGGCCAGACATCTTCAAGGACTTCCAGGAAGAGACCATGAAGGACTACGAAGCTGGTAAGAATTATTTGGGGGAAAAAACAGCATAACACACAGACCAGAGGGGATTATATGATTGATTACAGCAACAAAATACCAACATGTTTCTGGTTACGCTTTCATCTCTCATAGGAAAAGATACACTAACCTTTTTTTTTTCCTTTTCTGTCCTCAGGCCAGCTTTATGGACTAGAGAAGTTCTGGGCCTTCCTTAAATACTCTAAAGCCAAGACCATGGAGATCGACCCCAAGCTGCAGGAGTACCTGCACAAGTTCAAACGTTTGGAAGATTTCAGAATTGACGTGAGTAAATGTTTTTATGTGGTATTTAACCGCTGATTGGCAGCATCTGTGAAAAAGATCAGAACCTCACCTGAGCATGTCTGTTGAAAATGTATAAAAGACATGACCCTGTAGTTTTGGCATAGGTTATTTCTTATCCCCGGTCATTTCACTGAAAGTAAGACATTTGAATCAAGAATAGTGAAACCTTATTTTTACGAGTAAACTGATTCTAAAAGTGATCACTGATTGTGGTTTTGTGCTTTAAAAAACAACTCCCCCCTCTCTAACCTCCCTATTTCTGGTTCCAGCCGCCTATGGAGGAAGGGGGCCGCAGGAGACACTCGTCCAGCGGGGACAGTCGCCGCCGGCACCCCTCTCTGCCCTCCAGCCGGCCCCACAGCCAGAACAGCTCGGGCCCCAGCCCTGCCCCCTTCGCCCCGGGCCCCGCAGCCAAGGATGATGCCAAACCCAGCAGCCAGAAAGACCCCGCTGACCCCGCTCCTGACGCCATGACACTGAAGTAACTCCACCAACACGCCGGCCCACATGATGAACTCAACCACGTCTGCTAGTCGCTGGTTCTGTCTGCACCACAGGAGAGGGGGGTAGTCCACTTCTGCATTTTTTTTTTTTTACTTCAACCAACTTTATTAAGAAATAAGGAAGACAAACAATTAATATGGCTCGGTTTTTTAATTAGTTGTCAGCTTGTGAGGAAAAAGATACTTTTTTTTGTTTTGTCTTGATGAGGAAAGGAATGGATGAGGTGTCAAACACTTTTTTCTTTTCTCTTACAAATCATTGCCAGTCCACACGGTGGATGGTTCGGTGGTGATGTACTACCATGGAATTATTTTTATTTTATTCATTCTTTTAAAAAAAATATATTTTCATGTTGACCCCCCTCTCTGTCACTGGGACCCCTTTTCGATCACTGTCCTGCTGGCTGTAAGATATTTGATTCCTCCCTCAGTTCTCAGATTTATGATTATTATTTCTTTGGCATGCGGTGAGATTGGAGACTTGGAAATAGTTTGATGGACACTGAGTATCTGAAAGCCAGATAGCGGCGGCGCGCGAGGCCGTGCTGCTCCTGACATCCAACCGGACCAAAGTGGTTTAAACCGAGCGACTGACATTTCAGTTGAGGGGCTTCAAATTCAAAATATTTGATTTACTTTATGGCTGGACATTGATGGTTAAATATTAAAGAACCAAATGATAAAAAGAGAGGGAAAAAAAAAGACTTATACCAATCCCTCAGTATGGACACGATCATTGAAAGTTGCCTTATTTTAATGATTTTACTGCTTCTAACATGTGCCCCGCCACCTTATTGTCGATTGTACAGCATTGGAATCAACCATATCCGGTCACCTTTTTTCCAGCAAAGGCCACTAGGTGGTGCTGCCAAACTGTTTCACTTACCCCCCCTCCCTCACTCCCCTCCTTCACTATTTCTGAACTGTCTTCCAAGTGTCATTTGGTCTGTTACAAGTCCTGTAATACTTCCCTGTATTTTGCAAGTCGTGGCTTTTTGTGCTGAAACAAACCTGGCGGGAAGTTTGTCGCCTTTTTCCCGAAAAAAAAAAAAAACACTTCAGTGGGCTGCCAAGTCGGGAAGGGATTGAATCACCGATTGATCTTCCTTTTTGGGTGCTTTTCCCGACTTTCTCTCGCCCCCCCCCCCCCCGCTGCGCCTCCCAAGCTGCGTCCATCCGTTTATCCATCCGTGTGACATCCATCCATCCGTCGACCATCAGTGACGACCCAGGACTGGAATCATCAATCTGGATTACTTGAAGAAGCCATGGTGTTGAGGAGGGCCGTGGGTGGAGACGCTTCCCGAGACCCAGACATTCGGCCTCCGACTTCAACGTGAAGCTCGACCGGGCCTCGGGCGCTCGCCACCACTTCCTGTCCCACCCTCAGATTCACAGATCAGTTACAGGCATGAACGCTGACAGGTGTTTTCCACGCGCAGGTACAGATGTAGCAGTGTGAGCTAGTTCCACACATACGCAGCTTGATGTCTTGCCTCGCTGTCGAGAGAAATTCAAGACTGGACTCAGTTCTGTTCTGTCTTCACACTTCCTACAGTCACGTGTGGATAATTAAATCTTTATCCAGTACTGATGATATCAAATAGAAGATTTCTTCCTCCACTAATGTAAATGTGAATTTGACAGATGAAGAGAAAATGATTACAGCTCCCTGCTACTTGTTTTATTGTTTATAGAACAGATTATATATTTGCCTTACACGTGTACGTACTCTTTAACTTTTTTTTTCTTTCTTTTTTTTTTTTTTTTAAAAGGTCTCATGATTATCTTTTTAATGCTTTTTAATTTCAATTTGCAGTGTTTCTAGCGTTGTTATAGTGGAGGCAGGGTTTGTGTCAGACTGTTTCAAACATCTGTGGATTTCAGAAACGGGAACATAATTCACAACAAAAGGGAATGTTGGCATCAGGGCGTCAGCGAGTGTTCAGTGCAAAAACTAAAGCTGTAAGTTTATAGTGTTTCACGTTGAAATCAGTTATTTTCTCTTTTTTTTTTTTTTTCTTCTAGTAAAGATGTTGAACTTCAAAAAACTAATTTTTCTAATATTTAAACCCCTGTTTTTCGACAAACATGTCTGCCAAGTCTAAAAACTTGATTTGAGGACCATAATTGAAGAAATTCACAAAGTTCTGGAAAAGAAAATATTGAGCCATTTTCTGTTTGACATTATTAACTGTCAAAGAGATCCTTCGTGAGTTAAAATACATTTGACAGATTAAGAGTTTGGACAAGCCTGACCCTTCCTTTTTTAAATCAAAACATGTTTTCTTATTTTTTTTTACTAAAGTTTTGGTCCTTTTTGTGTTATAAGCATTCAGCCTATTGGTTGATGTTCTAGCAGAGAGAAAATCCTGTCAGTGTTTCTTCCTTTGAATCCACAATTGTTGGAAACACGAAATTGCAAAGTTGTACTTGCTTTTCTTTTCTTCCTTTTTAATGTTTTGTTGCTTTATCTTCAGGGAGATTTGGATCAGTTACAGAAGCTTACAGTTGATGCATAAAAAAGTGTTTACTGGAGGTTAAAATATGAGCTACAAAACATTCAGAAAAGAAGAACACAACGTGGCCCTAAACCAGCCGAGCCTTCGAATGGCTCAGCCGGAGACCTGGCAGTCTGACCTTCTTCCTGGGGCAGTCACATGATCCCTCTCTCTAATGTGATCATCACCTGTCACCTGACATTTGGGGGTTTCAGGAGTTTTCTGCCTTTCAGACAAACTGTAGGGGGCGCCACACTCTGCTCATCGGAGAGAGGAGTGATGGACGTGGGAAGAGGAAGAGACAGAAAGAAGAGAAAGAGCCCAACTTGGGCTTGTGATGTCGTTCAGAAGATTATGGCTGATGTCTGGTGACTGAAAAAAAAGGACAAAATTCCATAAAGCCATATGAATAAGAAATAACTGTATATGAACCATTAAGATAGTTCATTGCATTACTATATCTAGGCTTGTCATGAGGAAAAAAATATGAAAACAAGGAAAAAAGGAACAAAAAAAATATATAAAATGGAAAAATGTAAAATACTTGAATGAGATCTTGTATTATAACATTTAATATTCATAATATCTGCTTTGTAGGCTGATGTGATTCGCTATTAGTGTTATTTGTAGTAATTATGCTTTTCCTTTAATAAAGAAAAAAAACACAAAACGGACAAAAAAACCTCAAACACTGACTTGAGTGATTATTTCTCCATGTCTCTGTATATATATGTATGTATATCTATTTAGCCGTTTCAAAGATAAAGTGGACCTATCATGCTATATTTGACAAATATATTGTAGGGCCATACCTATATAAAACATGTCTGGTATTTTGAAAAAAAATACTTCAAACACATGCATTTTAACCATGCCTCATTTCGCTCTTTTCCAGAACTGTTTTTGCAAGGGCTGATTATGTGACTAGCTTTAATGCAAATGAGCTGTAGCTGACCACGCCCCCCTGCAGGAGAGGGGAGCGTGCTCTGATCAGCTACTGGGCTCTCAGAAGAGGGGGAGGAAAAGAGAGGCTCCGTCCTCCGTGTTTTATTCTTATGATTATATAGAGTCGTTATTCATTTGTTTTAAAGCTCAAGAAATAACAAGACCTTTGACTGGCACTTTTCAAATGTTGTCCGGAAGATTTAAACTTTAACGGACATGTTAACCGGCAAAAAAAATCTAACTGAAACTCTGCCGCACGGTCCCCTGGTTCTTTGGAAGAGGCGGAGAGGTGGGTGTTTGTCATCTGTTGGTGGCAAACCGGAGAGAATTACAGCGAGGGAGGGATTGCATTGAATTACAGCAGCAGGAGCAAACGCTTGCCTCGGGGAGGGAGAAAAAGAGCCAGAGCGTCCACAGCGGAGAATAAACAGAAGGGCAACCCTTTTCTGAATTCAAATCTGTATCAGCTCCGTTGCAGCCCCGTTTTTAGAGATTTGGGTATGGAGGTAAAGAGAGAGGGTTGTGTTTTCTGACACTTGGTGAGTTCCCTGACACACCGGATAGATTTGGATAGTTTTTTTTGCAACATAAGAAAAGAAAAATCCACATTTTCTTACAATTTTTTTATTAAACGATCACAGTAGTTGGAGTCTTGAACATTCATGCTTTATTATACAATCATTACTAAGGCCACAATTAATATACATTACATCCAAGGATATGTTTAAAGGCGGAAATGGAAAGTGCAAAAGTATCTTCTGCCTGAGCATTAGGGAACACAGTCGAAGTGCTGATACTTAACATTACTTAAATACCAAATATGTTTAAGAATTAAAACATTTAGATTAATGTGCAAGAGTAGAAAAAGAGTTTGCTCACGTTAAAGCTATGATTCATGACAAAAAGTTGAACATGTCATTAGTTTACAAGTGAGGATGACATGGAAATGTAAACTCAAGTACAAGAAAATGATGTCAACTGAAGGGTCCTTTCTTTAATAAGATGAGCAAAACAACATTAACGGAGGGCAACAGAGTGAGGGGTAAACATGGCTCTGTCGCCGGAGAAGATGTGATGGCAGAAAAGTGATATGATTTATTTAAATGCTCCTTAAGTGTGGGATCTGGTCCACAAACAAGCTACTTATTGATCCTTGTGACTTGTGTTATGGACAATCATTCCACCATAAAAGCAAAATGGAGAGTTAGTCATAGTAAATCAAATTGACTTATACTCTAGTTGCCAGCATGGTGAACCTGGAAATGTTGAGTACACCAACTTTTTATGTTAGAAATGTAGTACGGTACCCAGCACAAAGAGACTGTCGGATTCTAACTTGCATATGTTGGGCTATTAGCATTAGTTGTGTTTATTAAAGGTTATGGCATTATAGCGTATATGCAGAAAATAGTAAAACAATAACTTGTCATTGAGGATGCTGAATCAATTTCTGGATAAAAAATTGCTAATTTAACCAGAAAGTGGCCATATTTGTATTCTCAGTGGGCTGATTTCCACTACCAAGAGTAGTGTCGCGACCATTGGCTGTAGAAAGCACACGATTAAAATCATTATTATTATTTTAATGCTGAAAAAGAAATGGACAGAGCAACCTCAAAAACCACTAATAATCAGCATTTTGTTTACTATTGTCTGCATCTGCTATAATGCCATTCATTTTAATTAAAGCAACTTGTGCTTATTGCTCAAATTGCCCAACATATGCAAGTTGGCATGTGGCCGTTTCTAGGTGCTGGTGACCCGTACTATACATTTCTGGTTTCACAACAGGACTGTAAAAGCTGGCAAATAGACTATTACTGGGAGTTATCATGCTTTCCTTTTCATCTATTTGTTTATTGGTGGACATGAGCTTCCATAAACTTCTCCATGGTGTTTTGGAACAAATGTAAACGTTCATATCCAGATGGAACAGAAAATAACCCTAAACTATTGACTGCTCTGCATCCTTAGCACTTGTGAGTGAAATCATGAGCTCCATTAAAACATTTCTAGGTCACAGGAAGATACAAATAAACAGCATCATTTGATCTGTATGTCTAATGAAGTACAGCGTTTCTACTTGGACATGGGGTTGGTGGCCAGTGTTCGACAGACATTCACAGTTTAAAACAACAGGTTTTCTGGATTCAAATCATTGGAATTAAATAAATAATAATCCAATTTAAGATTAGACATTTCTTGATCACAAACTTGTCGAGGTCTGAAGTTAAAGGTCAGGGGTCATCACTGGCTCTTCTTGGGTGCGTCAGGGATGCTGTCGTTCAGAGGGGTGAGGCCTGTGAGGATGGCGTGCCGCTCATACTGCTTGGTCTGCCTGAACTTAGTGTCGGTGCCGTGGAGCCGGTCCAGAATGCCGAAGACCCCGAAACACTGGTTGAACCTGGAACCAGGGAGGAAATAGATCAACTGAGGATGACTTTTTTTTTTTTTAATAAATAGGAAAATGTAAAATTCTATATTTTTCTTGCAGTAAACAAATCTGGGTGGCATGATCCTTTAAATCAGGGGTGTCCAAACTACGGGCCGGGAACAACTGCGACCCATTGTCCATTTTCAATTGGCCCTGAGCAAATTCTAAAAGTATATTGGAATATGGCCCACGCCTGAAACTTGTGCTTTTCTTGTATTCTACTTCTTAAATATATGACACAGTATTCATGTGTTAATAAGCCCACTTTTCAAATAAATTCAGTCAATTAAAGTTGAGAACATTTTCTAACAAATCCTAATTAATAAAAATAAAAAAGCCCAATAACTTATATTAAATAAATGAAACCCTATGAAATGCTGTGAACTAGGCTGTTTTCTTTTCTTAAAGCATATGTTTACCTTAATTTGATTGATTTTGCCATCTTATAACTTAAAGGTGGGGTAGGTAATTTTGGAGAAACCAGCTTGTGTGCGCTAGATTTGAAAATACACAGCCGGAAGAAATCTGCTACTTCCTTACAGAGCCCCTCCTCCAACACACACAAACGCACACATGACCAATGAGGGCACGAGATAAGTTTGTGCACAGATGGAAGGCTGACAGGCAGGTAGGCCATCCAGTTACTTTAGCCGGGCCGGCTAAAATGATTGGTCGTGCTTTTTACAGTACTACAGCTTCCACAGATGAAATTTTATGGATTTGTTGTCAAAGCACTTAACATCCCGATAGCAATGAATATCTTAAGAGCATTCCATGGAATATAACAAAAAGTGTATCTCGAGCCGGTTTCTCAAACTTACCTACCCCACCTTTAATTTATGAGGCACTATATCTCACCTCTAGTGACTCAATCCTGCTGACGGTTGTTTAATATTTTATATGGATTTTTGCAAGTTGAAATAAAGCTACTGGGCTCACCTGAGGTGGTGGAAGTCATGAAACTCGGGGGAGGGCAGGAAGGGGAGGTGGTATCCACAGTGGGAGATGGTGGTGCTGATCAGAGCCACGCTGTACCACATGGCGGCGGTGGTCACATGGGAGCCCAGGAGGACCGGCCCGAGAGCCACCGGCAACATGTTGGAGATCTGACAGAATAGGAGGGACAAACTGCTTTTAATGGCCGAGGAATAACCAGCAAATATAGTGAAAACTTCTGAGAGAGGTAGAAAATGAACTGAAAGCGTGGAGGGAGGTATTCACCATGTGCTCCAGAGGGTGGGCGTAGATGCAGACGACTCCAATGGGGGCGGTCCACTCATGGTGCTGTTTGTGGAATCTCTTATAGAGGCTGGGATGGTGGAAAAGCCTGAGAGAAAGAAGATGAGGATAACTATGTGGTTACTTACTGAGACACTTAACAGAACGTAATGTTTACTGGAATACTGCTGCAGTGGTGAAAGAAGGACTCAGATCCTTTGGTTGGATAAAAATAACAACACACAAAAAGTCCTTTAGTCAAAAGTAAAAGTACAGAAGTATTTGCAAAATATAATTATAAATTTATAAATGAAAAACAATATATGACGAAAAAACTTCATAGTATAGTTTCTTGAACAAATGTCAAAACAATCATACTGTATGTTGAAAAAGTCATACAATATGACAAAAAAAACAACATACTAGAATGTTAAAAAAATGTTTTGTTATACTATGGTACATCAATAAAAGACAATAACACAATACAAAACTACTAAACATACAGGTCATGTGGAAAATGTCTCATATTATAGTATATTGAAAATATGTCTAAACAATTATAATATAGTATAGTATGTTGACAAAATTCATAACGGGAAAATATGTAAAAATAATTAAACTAATATGTAGCAACAAAAAAATAGTACTACATTATGTGAAAAAACTAAATGTCTGGTCTTCTTTCTGTTGACATCCTTCACATTTACCACTAGGTGGCAGTGATGTGTAAAGGTTAGTTTTTCAATGAAAACAGATAGTCCACCAAAAGGGCTTTTTTCAAAAAGGATACATTATGTCATGTCACAGTCATAAAAGCAAAGGTGTAAATAAAATAATTAAGGATCCAAACCTGTGGGAATAGTAAAACATAAATTCCTCCAGGAGGGAGAAGAAGGCCAGCTCTGCGAGGGCCCAGTGGAAGGCGGGCAGCTCGGGGCCACAGGGGTTTCCACTCATGGTCATCAGGGATCGAGCTACCACCACCATGGACCCCGAGATGAACACATAGTTGAAGAGGACGGTCTTCAACACATGGCGAAGCCTATCTGGATCCACCTGGAAGACCAGGAGGGAATCACAGGGTAAACAATA